AAGAGGCCCAGAGGGCCTGTATCGCTCACCTGGATATGTTTAAAACCATTGGTATTAAGTAAAGATAGTACATATGACATTTCAGAAAGATCTATCCAGTACTTCTGGAGGTATAGCGAGAACAAACTTCAAAAAGAACCCCACCCCTATGCCCCCAGGGGGCCACACCCACCGTTTATACAAAATTGAGTTCCGTTGGTCAAAGGATGCTCCAGACTAAATAAGGACAAATCCCTTTATCCCTATGGTAGAAGAAGGATTTTAAACGCTTTACCTCTATTTCCCATATTGGGTCCCGCCCCTCTGCCCACAGGGTGTCCAAACCCACTGTTTAAACAAAATTTAGTCCCATTGGCCTAAGGATGCTCCAGACCAAATCGGGATGAACTTTCTTGATCCCTGTGGTAGAAGAAGAATTTCAAAGGTTACCACTATTTCCCTTTTTCGGCCCCACCCCTCTGCCCCCAGGTGGGCAACACCCGGCGTTTATACAGAATTGAGTTCCCTTGGCCTAAGGATAATTCAGACCAAAAGCCGTTCAAAACGAATGGAATAGTTGACGGACAGACGACGAACACTGCGCCATGACATAAGATCACTTGCTCTTCGGGCAGGTTAGCTAAAAAAGAAGGTTAGCGGCACAGGGCCATTAAGATGTAAAAGCTATTTATTTTGCTCTGTCAGCTATAAGGAAAATTTGAGAAAGTCTCAACACCCTCACTAAACTGTGAATGTTATACTACCTGGGACTATGACATGGGCGTTACTTGTAACCTTATCAGGATAAACAAAATATTTAGTTAGTACTAACCGCATTTTAAAAACGATACTTACCATGTCCCTTGTAGCCCGTCAATGTTGTGTCGCTATCTTCACAACTGTTGTAATATAAAGTTTTCATCATTACAAATATTAAAAAGATATAGAGATATTTGTTTCAATAAGTAGCTGTTATCATTCTTGAAATGATCTGCTCTTTCTCGCACCTCAGACAGAGATGTCCCACGTCATACCCCATGCTGGAATACAAACTATCATGCAAGTTCATGAATAAATGTTAAAGTCAAGACAACACTCTGTTGATGGGTGTCATCGGGATAATATACAGCTTCCACAGTTTCATCATACTCATCGTCGATCTCGGGCATGGGGAGGCGTTTTTCTATGCATATGTTGTGCAGAATTGCTGTCGCAATCACAACGGAAACTGCCCTCTCTGGTGATAGATATAGACGCCTATAAATACAGCGGAATCTCATTTTCCTCAACCCGAACGTGCGTTCAATCACACAGCGCGTAGATTTATGACAGGCAGTTTCTGTCCCCAGGGGATTTCGGGTTCAACTTGGGTGTCAGCAACCATGGTCGTAATCCGTAACCACTGTCATCCAACAACCACCGATCAGTTATTTCGTTGGATTCAAATGCGGCAAAGAAACCACAATTTAGCTCATATGGAGGAATCATGTGTTGAGCCAGGCCATTTTGCAACAATGTTAAGCAATTTGAGGTTAGCTTTGCACACTCATTGAACGTACTCGTCAGTGGATAGTGTCTTAATTTGTATTAAATTGCCGTCTACAGCGCTCAAGACATGTGAAAATCCACGAATTTTGTGAAAATCTTGTTTGGCCGACAGTTGCCCCTGTCTGTTCATTGGAAAAGTTATATATCTCTCGGCTTGCCTTGTTATCAAACCAGAAACGTTTCTAACGGCTCGAGATACTGCCATTTTGCTAAATCCGTGTGCTTCCCCAATCACCGACATGTAACTTCCGCTAGCATAGAACCGTAATGCAATCATCACTTGCAGAGACACTGGAAGAGCCATACTTCGTCGTGTGAATCTGTTGAGGTCATTTTCGAAAGTATCACACAACCCCGAAAATTTTTGTCTGTCTAAACGGTAATCTGAAACAACTGCGGATTGGTTCTGTCACGGAACAAACGCTTTGGAACATCCTGATCGTGGTTTAGAAGTATCAGGACCGCCATTTTAGACTGAATTGGTGGTTAAGGGGAGCATACGAGGTCCTTTAGCTAAGGGACACAAATAAAGAGTGTTTCTAGTTACAGGACCCCTTGAAAATGCCTAAGGTGATCTTTGCATTCCCGTACGATGTAAGAGAGCTTCGAGTTACTCATTTATTTAAGATCACCTTAAGGCGGTGTTTAGTTGCAGATAAGGGGATGGGGTACCGCTACCCGTAAAATGTACCGTTATTCCCTTAAAGGAACATCTAATATTGCTTCTTGTTACACCTTAGCGTAAAAAGGTAACGTAAAGGTTACCATAAGCCATAAGGGGACGTCTTGTTACAGGCCCCAGGCCTAGAAAGGAAATGGAATCTATAGTCAAACAAAGGGGAAGTACAAGGACTCTTTACGCAACAGCATTTTCAGCGTAAGCGGTTCATTGACAGAAATACAGGTAATTAATCTAGACCTAATAGATCAAACTAGCTTCCCCTTTTAAGTATCATAAATCTTGAAGATCTTTATAAACCTTTTTCCTTTATACGATTTTTACTTCTGTAGCCTTGCATAGGGACATGGTCATTAATTTGAAAAAAACAAAGACGTTTTCGTCAAGTAAAGTTACGCCTCTTTGAAATTGAAACATACGATATTGAAAATGGATCAATTCTATATGGGACCATCACATAAAGTAACAGGCATTTGCTGCTTTGAGAATTAAAAATATGGATACCATTCAACAATCGCAGTACTCGGACGTTCGTAGATCGTTGCATGGTACCGGATACTATGAATTGGCCGCGCACGCGCAACATTTCAAATTAAGCACAGTTGTGTGGCGGGAATCGTCAGCGTTTGATAAAGCGCGCAAAGTTGACAAGTGTGGAAGAAAACAGTCTTTTGAACATGTTAACGATACCTACAACCGAAGCAATCGCCAAAAACCCAGGGACGCGAAAACGTGTTCGCGCGAATCGCACCGAAACGCACGGTCCTGTTAACCAACCAAAATTGTAATCTTATTTACCTGATGACAGTTACGCTAATTGAAGAACTTTTTAACGCTTTCACAAAACTTGTGTGCCCTTAGGACGGGATTCAATATGTGAAATTTATTGACATTTGACTTTTTCCGAGTTTGAACAAAGAAAAATGTATTTGATTATATGAAATTCATGTTTTATCTGTTCATATTATCTGTTATATATGTTGCCCGATTTTACCGATATTTACACCTGTGTACCAGTTATTTTATAAGAAGTGTATAACGATTTTATTTTTTAGCTGTACCTTTACAACAATAACCATTAAAATCAGGTGTAGTCTTCATATAAAATTATATGTACTTAGATTTTATTTTAAACACCAACATTAAATCGATCAGTCACACGAACATATTACAGACCCTGAGCAGAACCACGTCCACGTCCGTAGGGTATGGTAACATGCTCGTTTCAAGAGTGTGGCTGAGAGTTCTAAAATATAATCCGGTCTAACTGTGTTCACCTATGCGAAGTCCTACCCTACGTACACATATGTGACACGGCGTATAGCTTAAGGATGTACTTTTCTAAGGTTTCAATCACGTTCAAGTCTCGTTTTGATCTGGTGTAACGGGTTTTTGTTATATTAGCAAACACGCATCTGAAAAATATGTCAAAAAACTAGATGCCTGTTGTTTGTAGAACTTTTTTCACAAGAATTTAAAACAATTACCAATTCGGCGGCCATTTTGAAAATGTGTATGAATGTGTATTTCTTGCGCTTCAAAAAAGGCAAAAAAATCACCTTTTTTTACACTAGATTGATCACTTAAATTGTCATTGTGTCGCCATATCTAATTGTAGCAGGTTCAATTTTGCTGTACAACTTTATAATGTTTAATATGATAAAAATTATATGCAACAAACTGGAAAATTATACATTATTGTTAAATTTTTTTTAAATATTTAGTGTAACTGAAGCACTTTTGATTTTTGACCCCGAAAAGTGTAAAAAAAAATAATGGGGAAAAAAAAGAAGCACACGGACCCCAATTTTTGTGGATGTTTGAGAAAGAGAAACGCTTTTTCTTTTAATTCATTAAATATTAGAAATAGTTTAATAGCAGAACTTTTTATGTCAAGCGTTTAATCTGCAAAAAATGTTTAAAAATGAGATAAAAAAATCATCAATAATAGGGGGTAGCGGTAACTAAAATCGGCTTTCTGAGTTAAAAGAATAAGATTAAGAAATTGTACTTACATAATTTTAAAATAAATAATATTTTCATCAATTTTACAAACATTCATACATATCTGATAACACACTTGGAAGAAATTGCATGAATTTGTTCTGCAAATGGTCAAACCCCAAAAATCACCTAAAATCACATGTTGTGTTAAATTGGTATCTTTGACCGATCATAACACAAAAACGAACACACGGACATATTTATTTTTGCATTTTCTACTATGCCATTAACTCCTTTTTCCAAAATCCATATAATTTTAGAGATATTGTTCTATTCACACACATGTGTCACGCCGCGATCGTAAAAATCAATTCATCATAACTCGGTCATTTTATCAAATATCTAATTGAAATTTGGTATGAAGGTGTATTATAGTCATTTTAACAACATATCTTCTAATGTCGCTTACTTTATTCGGTATTTTTAAAGATATTGTCTGGCGATGCTTGTTGTCGGTTGAATTGAGGTTTTTGAAGAAAAACCAATTTTCATGATGTTATACTTACCATAACTTAACTATGCATAAACAATACCTACACCCATCTTTGTAGCCCAAAAACAAAACAAAAAACAAATATCCCAACCTCCCTACCGTGACGTAACCCATATCTCGACGACAGAGCCACGGAGTGATCTCCCTTCCTCAAACCACTTTTATGGAGTCTAAAGGCAGCCGGGATGAGGAGGCAAGGGGATGAATACAGGGTGGGACTCCATAAAGTAATGGTTAGTATTACATCATGAAAATTGGTTTTACTTCAAATACCTTAATTTCATTTCAGTAATAATTACCATAACTTTAGTATGCGAAATCGTCTTACCGTAGTGGATGCTTCGAATCCAGTCAGACCAGGCTGACGGAACAAACTCGAGACATGCTCAAGGTAGGGAAAAGATTCAAGGAACCCCCCCTATTAATATTAAGCCCCGAAAGTAATTAAAAAATGGAACACCTCCCCGTGAAACGAGCAGGTGTACCACCATGGTGCCTGGTAGCATACTATTTAAATATCACTGAGTAACTGTGGAGTAACAGCCACACCCTGTGCAACCACCACCGGTCCAAGGGAATACAATCCATCGGAATGAGAAGCTAAGAACCGGAGATAAAAATCCGTAAAGGTAGTCTGTCCGCTCCAGAAAGCCGCGGATATGATCTCCTGACCTCATGAAAGGAGGACCCATTGAGGAGGGCCCATGACGCAGCAAGGGCCCTGATATCATGAGCTCGCACCTTATACAATGCCCGAACCTGAACATCTGAGTGGTCGTAACCGTACTTGCTGACCTGACAGATCCATCTAGACACTGACTGAGAGGAGATATCCAGCTGACCCTGCTTAATGGGCAAGAACAGACGACCCCCCCC